TGATTCCCGCATAAGCTGAAATCAGAATCAGCCTAAGGCTGATTCTACTTTTAACTTTAAATTGGGTGAAAATTAGTTAAAAATTTGTTTTACCAAACATATTTTTAAATTTTAAATCTCTCAATAAGTGCTTTTTCTCTCCTAAAAGCAATACCAAACTCACCCGATATCTGAATTCTGAAGTCAATCAATAGTGATATGTGAAATTTTTATTTTTGTCAGATTCTTTACTACTTTCCTCGACTTCTGGAGTTTTGTTTGGGCCTTTGGGGGAACGAGAGAACCCAAAATACTTTTCCACATCCAGGCTTCATTGACAATTTCTTTCCCAGGGCTTTGTGAGAGAAAAAGAGAGATTGTAATGAAATTGATAGCTGAGGAAGTCCAACAAACACGTGTTTAAAATCCTGTTTCCTGCCAATTACATCCACACATTATCAGGCCTGAAATTGGTATTGAAAAGGAAAATAAATAGTATTGTCGAAAAGCTAAACAAAAATTTATAGTCCAAGAGTGAACTGGGATACATGCCCACCAGTGGAAAGTGTCAATTTAGTACACATGCTAGAGCTAGAGTTGACTTTGAAAATGAGCAAAACCAAACTTTATTTGTTTTTTTTTTTTTTTTTTTTTCATAAAATAAATATGATTGATCCTTACCCAAAATACATCTACATTTTCATGTCACCAATTTCCTAGTGGTTGGTTCATCTGTATTTCAAAGAAAGCATGGAATCCTCAACAAAAGTAAATAAATAAATAAATAAAGCATGAAATCGGAAGTGTAGTTTTGCATTTATAACAAAATATTTACATGTGAGGTACCAGACTATAGTTTCCTGTGAAAGAATTGGGCCAGTAGTAAAGGACTAGAAAGGGGTTTGTATCATCTATGTCAGTTTCTTCAAATGGAAAATTGAAAAAGTATAGACTTTAGCACGGTGAGCACTGTGAAGGAGTCGTGTATCAGGCAGAAGCCAAAGCCGCTTGAGATGACAACCTGGCCTAAGACTCAGCTGCTAACAAGCTCCTGAAACTTCACTCGCTTTTTAACACTACCCATTCGGTCGTAACCAATGCCAATTTTGCTATGCATCAACTTAATAGCTAGATCTGAATTGCCTGCTTTTCTCAAGGCATTGATTAGAACAGTACGAATTCTCCCTGGTATTTCCCTCCCCCTATCCACAATGCCGTCAGCCAACTTGCAAGCTTCCTTGATCCGACCAGCTTTGCACAACACGTTGAGCATATCTTCAAAAGCTGTTTCTGGAATTACACCCATTGGCGCTAAGTCATCCAAGATCTTGCAGGCCCTGGCAACTTTCCCCGAAAGACAGAGCCCTATAGAAAGAGCCCTGAAGGATGCTGCTGTTGGCGTGATGCCCTTGTCAATCATGATGTCCCATAGCTTCAATGCCTCCTCGTTTTTGTGCTCTTTAAACAGTCCGTCAATAAGTATAGTGTATGTATAAACTGTCTGATCGCAACCTTCATCTTCCATCCTCTTAAAAAGTGCTAATGCTTCATCAGTGTTCCCAGACTTGGCCAAGGCATCAATAAGGGCATTGTAGCAATATGAATCCCTCGGGCATCCATTATCAACCATCTCTTCAAAAATCGTTTGAGCTTCTTCTACATTCCCAGCCTTTCCAAAACCATTAATAAGACTAGAATAAAACATAGAATTTATCGGCATCCCCTTACCTTTACAAAACTCGAAATATCCCATGGCTTCATCCATTCTCCCATTCCTACATAGCCCATTGATAATAACCCCATAAGAAACCTCATCCGGTTCCAGCCCATCACTTTCCATCCTCTTAAACAGCCTCACTGCCTCTTCCATGCTCCCACATTTCGAATATGAATCAATCATAGCAGTGTATATAGCCACATTCGCTCCATAACCCTTCTGGATCATATCATTGAAAACGGCATACCCTTCCATACACTTCCCGCGCTTACAAAGCCCACTGATCACTAGAGTATAAGCATGCGGTGGAATTTCTAGTCTTTTCTCTTCCATTTCATGGTAAAGACTCAAACAAGAATCAAAATCTTCTTTCGAGTAACACGCCTGCATTAACGTCATATAAGTAACTTTATCAGGCTGCACATTCCTAGCTTCCATGGCTCTAAACTTGTCAAACGCTTTCTGGACTTGCCCTGCTTTACAATACCCCTTAAAAAGAGTATTATAAGTCACAATATCCGGTTCAACCTTCCCATTCTCCATAGCCTCGAAAACCCGCTCGGCGGATTCAATAAACATTGAATTCACCAAGCCATTCATCAGAAAATTGTAAGTATACAAACTTGGATCAATCCCATTCTCTTTCATCTGACGCCAAACCCACAACAATTCCTCAACCATCCCAACACTACCGAAGCTCTTAATCAACGAATTCGCCGAGGAGGCATTCATGAGAAAACTCATTCCTTCAAGCTCGGAAAACACTCTCCGAGCACAATCCAAATCACCGCACAAAGATAAAAGCTCAATCAAGGAAACATAACACTCAAGCTTCTGATTATACTTCTTTTGCTTACCAGCCCAGTAAAAGAAACGCAAAGCGATATCGGGTTTTCGCAAAAGCTCGCGGGAATTCAAAACAAAGGAAACAAAATTAGGCGACAATTTGATCAGGAATGTCTTACAGAAAGTGTCGAGATTGGCTTCCATGTCGGGGGACCCGTCCAAAGTGTTGAGAATATGGGCAACCCATGGAGATAGTTGGAGGTCTCGGGAGCTGGAGACTACTTCAGAAATATCGTTTAGTGGTTCTACCCATTCGGGAGGAGGGAGAGAGTTTGTGAAAACCCAATTTGGATTTGAGCTGAAACTCGTCGGTGTGTGAGAATTTGAGGAGTTTGGTGAGGACCCACCATTTTTGTACGGACGGGAAGGTCTCGGAGGGCGGAGTTGGGTTGCAGAGAAGGAGAAGCGGGATCTCAGAAGGGCTCTTCTCATCACGGCTTTGGCCGATGGTTCGCGCTTCGCAGCTACTTATGTTCAGCTGCATCGGCTCCTGCCTAACAAGGAAAAATATACATTTTATTTACGTTTTGTAATACATGTTGACGACGACATGGCAAAAAGGTCCCATGGTCTAGTGGTCAGGACATTGGACTCTGAATCCAGTAACCCGAGTTCAAATCTCGGTGGGACCTTTTTCTATTCATAGTTTATTTTAATAATTATTATTTTTTCTTTTTTGTGTTTTTAATGTGTTGTTTGAAATGTTTTTTTGCTAATAAAACATTTTTTTATCATCTCTGATAAAATGGCGGAACAAGAATTTTATTTTAATAGACGTAAATAATAGGGCTGCTCATTAGTCGGTGACTATGATTTTTGTCAATTCGGTCACCGACTGACATAGTCGGTTTTTAAGAAACTGAAAATTGACACCGGCCAAGGAGGAGAAGAAAACTAAAAGCTCAGAGGCCAAATTTTGTTGGTTCAGTTTCGATCGGTCATTGACAAATTGATGTGTGACACTTGTAAAGGAAGGAGAATAGCAAAAATGGTGGTAGACCTACGGCACTTCACTTCAACGGTGAAAAAAGAAAAATAAGAGGTTTTGTGTTTTACGTAAAAGTCTTATTTTGTTTTTAAACTGAAAAATCGTGATAAATATTCTTTAAAAATATATAGGTCAAGAATTTTATCAACCTGTCCACCACCACCCAGATGGCATCGTGCTTTTGCTCAGTCCTCGGAAGTCCCATAAAAAATCCATTGTGATGTGTTCCCATTTCCATCCCGACACAGGTAAAGGCTGTAATTCTCCAGCAGGCTTTTGATGCTCAACTTTAATTCGAAGATAAGTCACACATTCTGAAATATACTCATGAATGTTTTTCTTCATGCCTATCCACCAGTATTGTCGTTTGAGATCTTAGTACTTTCCGGATGAATAACGTACCTCGATTTATGGGCCTCATGTAAAATTGCCTTCTTGATCTCATCCACCTTAGGAATAGCTAGGCGGTTGCGAAAGTTAAGCGCTCCATCTTCTCGGATTCTCCAATCTTTAAGTTGCTCTCCATTCTGGATTCGAATCCAGATTCCTTGGAGATGAAGATCCTGCCATTGATTCTGCTTAACTTGTTGCACAAGGCCAGGTGTGGAGATCAGATTATACACCATTGCTTGGTTATAATCCTCGTGGTACTGAAGTTCATAATCGCTTATTACTTCAGTCATTGTCCAGTTTTCCAAAGCTAATGATGCCATAGTTCCTGTGGTCTTCCTGCTGAGGGCATCAGCAACCACATTAGCTTTTCCTGAATGATACTACAGTGTGAAGTCATAATCTTCTATGTATTTCACTCATCTCCTCTGTCTGAGATTCAGATCTTTCTGAGTAAACAAGTACTTCAGACTCTTGTGGTCAGAGAAAACCTGAAACTTTGCTCCATAGAGATAGCATCTTCATATCTTCAGAGCAAATATCACCGCTGCTAGCTCCAAATCATGAGTGAGGTAATTGATGAGGGGTATTTCTACCAACAAATCAAGTACTTTTAAGCATGAATATTTGTAAGTCCTCAAGCATTTTTGTTAGTTTAATGTCTTTTCTATGCTTATTATATGATTTATAAATAAATGCGAACTTGGATGATTTTGTCCAACTTGTGAATCAATGCCAAGAGAAGGCGAAAGAGGATTTTAAGGCACAAGGAGGAGGCTTTGGAACGCAAGAAAGCGGGCTACAGCGTGCAAAGGAAAGCGAAGTCAGAATGGGACGTGTGCCCGCGCCCGAGCCAGCTGTGCGCCAGCGCGCG